GCTTAATCCTTACAACGAATCTGTGAGCGAGGTGCTGCGCCTTCCCCTTTACAGATGAGGAGCCTGAGGATTGGGCGGGTGAAGCAGCTTGGTTGCTGCCACCCAGTTTGGCTCAGTTCCTGGCCTATACCAAGGTGTCCATGATTGAGGGCTGTTATCATCTTTCTTCTCGTTCTGGGGACAGTCCAGTTGACTGATAAACTGCGTGTGGTGGTGTCATCTTCTGTTTTCAACCCTGAGGACTCTAGATTGGCATTTCCCCATCCTGGGCCTGTCTCTCATTCCTGCCCCACCCTGAAGCTTCTCCCTCTTTCTTCTCTACATTCTTCTTCTCATTTCAACTTCTTCTCTGTCTCCTCCTCCTCCTCCTCCTCCTGTGGTCAAGCTCTTAAACCCAGATCAGCTCCTTTTTCTTCCTTCCCCCTCCCTCCCTCCTTTCCTGCTGGGCTCCAGGTACAGAATTTAGGTGATGACAATGGTGAGAGTGATGGTGATTTTGTTGTTGTTGTAAGGTTGGCCAGCCAGAATTTTCAGTCCCTTCTCCTCCTTTAATCTTCTCATCTTATACCTGGATGGGAAGGGTGAGAAGATCATTCACCATAAGAATGTGAAGTTCTGCTAGGAAAGGCAATCAATTAGGAAGAGAAAGGCTGGCTTGTCTTATAGATTTAGAACCTTTATGGGGGAAGCGGGGAGGGACCTGGAGGGTCATAAAGACTACAGAGACTGTGGAGGGAGGGAAAAGAGGAGATGAGAAAGAAGGGACTCCAGGCTGCTCCTCAAACACAGATCCTGATTGTTCTGAAAGGTGACTGGTAGAAGTACACATATATTTGGTGCCATCCTCTCTACTTGGGGTGTGTTTGTCGTCAGTCACTGGGAAGCCACTGTCAGGTGAAGGATGCGCTGACAAATCCTAGCCACTGCAGGATATCGAGGGGGCAGTGACATTATTGTTATCATTGCTGTGGACCCACCAGTTCCTAAGCCCTCTCCACGTGCCTGGCACTTGTTAAATTCTTTCCATACACAGGCCCTACCCCTCTCACATTGAGCAGAGTAGGAAACGAAGGCCAATGTTCTCCGTCTGCTATAGAATTTGGGCTAGAAAACACTAAACTAGATTTTGGGAGTGACACACGATTGTCTGTCCCCTGTATATAAAACGATAGTGCTCATCCAGGATCAGAGGAGCATCATGATTGACTTAATTAATTTACGCTCTACTTGGGAAGAGACGATATCATGCACATAAAGTCAAGGGCTAATTAACTCTACAAGAATACAAGAGATGTCAAAAGGTGGTTGGATGAAATGCCAAGTTAATGGCAGAGATGTAGGAACTATAGGATCTTATTAACGTTTATGTATTAAAATTGCAGGTATCGCCAAAAGATGAACAAGATACATTTCATGTATTTGCAAGTAAACATGTGTTACTAGTCATGCACATAAAGTCAAGGGCTAATTAACTCTACAAGAATACAAGAGATGTCAAAAGGTGGTTGGATGAAATGCCAAGTTAATGGCAGAGATGTAGGAACTATAGGATCTTATTAACGTTTATGTATTAAAATTGCAGGTATCGCCAAAAGATGAACAAGATACATTTCATGTATTTGCAAGTAAACATGTGTTACCTAGAGCCCACTTTCAGACCAACAATAACGAATTCTGCCTTCTTCAGGTCAGATGTAACTCAAAATTGTTTTATACCCTCAGCATTTCTTCAAGTAGGATTATCTTTTTCCAGAAGCCATCACAAGGCCTAAGAAGATTTGCAACAATGGGAAGGATTTTTTTCTTCCCTATAATGAACAGATTAAAGGCTTAATCCCAAGGTCTGTCTCTGTGTCCAAGCATAATTGTCCTGTAAGTCACTCCAAATGGGTTTTTTTTTCCATGTACACTCAGAAACGGTAAAGTCATTTTTTGGGGGGGAAAAACCACAAAAATGTATTAAAAGTCAACAGAAGAGGTCACTTCAGCAAAGTTTGTATCCAGGAAGGGGTGCCCCAAATGAGTACTTTTTAATATCAGGTTCTTAGGAAAATACTGATTACTCCAGGCCACTCAAAGCCAAGATTGCTTTGTGGCAACTTTCAGAAGGGCATCTACTCCCGTTTTCTTGGTGATTGACCTCTGGGGGTTACATGCCAAGATCATCCTGAGTCTTTTGGCCCATCAGTGCTAGGCTTAACTTCCAGGTCAGCAAGAACTCTTAATGAAAAATTGTCCATGACATTTGTTAAAGTGGTCACACTGCCTCCTCTTCTGTCTCAAATTCCCCCCGCCTCTCTCTTATAAAGGCGCTTGAGATTGCATTTGGGGCCCACCAGGATGATCAGTCTTCTCTCATCAAGATTCTTCACTTAATCACATCTGCAAAGTCTCTTTTGCCATATGAGGTCCCAGGGATTCGAACCTATATATCTTTGGGGCCATTACTCAGCCTACCACACAAGCTAATAGCAAAAGGGACACAGAAACCTATCATAAAGAGAAAAAAAAAGGCCCATAGGACCCCACTGTCCTTAGAATTGTCACAGGAAGTAGTTTGGGACAGCGGATGTCAACCTTTCGGACCTCACGGACCACCAGTGGTCCACGGACCACTAGTTGGCGACCGCTGGTTTGGGACATATTTTTCTAGATTTCTTTCTATGCAGACACTAACAGATGTATTGCTTTTATTTCCTTTCCTTTTAAAAATGAAAAATGGGATAACTTCCTACACAGCCCAGCAATTTGTCTCTTTCTTTTAATAATGTGTCTTTGCAGTAAGCTCTTTAAGAGGAAAGGGATTTACTTTCATGCTGCAGTCTTCTTTGATGTAAAAATAGCAACTTTCCAGTAAAGCAAGTGACTTTTAAAAAAATTCCATTTGAAATAATCTCCCAGAAACGTCAATGTTTTAATTTATAAGAGAAAGGCAACTTCGAACCAAAATAAGGATAGAGGCTACTTAGAAATTAGTATTTGGGGGAAGTTAGAGAAAGGGCCCTTTAGTTATACATGGATGCAGCATGACATACCGGAAGATTAACTAGCCTGTTAAAGTGAGAGTGTGTGTTTCCATGGTATCAGTTTAAGCATCTATGTGACCTTAGCAAGCTGTATCCAATCTCTGGGCCTCAGGGTCCTCACCTTTGAAGTGAGAGTATTGGACTAGAAGTTTTTTAAAGCTCCTAATGATCTTCCACTCTGCATTTTTGAAAAGGTACTATTCTAGTAGGCTAAGAGACCCTGTTTGAATAACAGACCTTTTACTAACTTGCTATGAACTTGAGCTAGACCAGGGTTGGGGGACGTCTGGACCAAGGGCTGTATAAGGCCTGCGAAATCAACTGGTCTGGCCCTGCCAAGGCATTAGGGGTGAGTTAATTAAATTTTTGACCAAATATAGCAGGCTAATTTTTTAAGTTGATAATTCTGTATGGCCCTCCAATGGTATAAATATCCAAATGGCCCTTGGCAGAAAAGAGGTTCCTCACCCCTGAGCTGGACAGTCAGCTCCGTTAGGCCTCAGTTTATTCATCTGTAAAATGAGCAGGCTGGACTAGAGTGCTCTCAAGATCCTTTCTAATTCTCACATTCTAATCTAGACAATGAGTCTCAAACTTCAATCTGCCTAAGAATCCCCCGGGGATTTTGTTAAAATGCAGAGTCTGATTCAGTAGGTCTGGGGTGGCGTCTGAGATTCTCCATTTCTAGCAAGTTCCCAGGTAAGACATGCTGGTCTGGAGATTGCACTTTGAGTAACAAAGCATTTGGATTTTGAAATGTCAGGAAACTGTGAAAGACTTGGAAATTAGTGAAAGATTACCGTGTGTCTGGTGGAGTGCTGGCCTGGGATTAACTGGTGCTATAGGCATGTACAGTTCGCTTGTCTTTTATCCAGCTCTGTAAGAGTAGATGTGAAATACAAATAGTAATGGGATGAATTTTGTTTAATTGACTTCAGCCCCGAAGCAAAAGATGGCTCCCAAACATCCATTTTACTTGTCCTGTAGGATATCAGCCCCTTTGCACAATTAGCAAATTCGTTTCAGTATTCCTGATTGCCCACATGTATGTGTTCTTCAAAATCTCTTTTAAACAGGTTTTACCTTTGCAATTCATTCATCGATTCATCGATTGATTTATAGCAAGGAACGCTTGCGGGAGTGGGAAGGTTGCAGGGTGGGAAACAAACGCCTCTGGAAAGTGGGTGAGGTATCATGCTTTCCTGACTCCCAGCCAGGGATCACGTGAGGAAGTTCGCTTTGCCTCCAGTCTAGGCTGGGTAATTCCCCTCCCAGGGCTAGAAGGTCACGGAATATGGGGGAAGAAGATGCTTTAACCATCCTGTGGCCCGGTATCAAGACGGTGAGAGACCTGACCAAGCCTGGAGGGGGCTGTAGCTGGGATTTGAACCTGACCTCAGGACTCCTCCAGAGCTCTTTATACCACCCCGTTTATTCTGGGGCCACTAAACGGATGGCCCTCATAAGTCTGCTGCATTTGTTAAGAATTTGACCCCTGTGTGGGTGGGAGAGGTCAATGGGGGAAAAAGGGAACATACGTAATACTTTCAACACTAAAGATAAAAAAAAAGGAATTTGACCCCCGCCCTGCTGGTGTGGCTCAGTAGTTGAGCATCGACCTATGAACCAGGCTCGATTCCAGGTCAGGGTACATGCCCGGGTTGCAGGGTTGCGGGTTCAGTCCCCAGTGTGGGGCAGGGGCTTGGGGCGGTCCCTAGGAACTAGGGGCGGAGCTTTGGGCGGCGGGGCGGAGCCTAGGACTGGGGGCGGGGCTTAGGGCGGCGGGGCGCTCTCTGGGGCTGGGGAGCAGAGCCTGGGG